TTATCCCCAGATGCTCGTGACCCCTGGTCTAGGTGAACTGCAGGACACCGACGGTAAGCGCATAAAGTGTTGGCAGAAAGGATATCAACGCGGCCAGCCCGACTTGTTAATCCTTAATGCACACGTGCGATACCGCGGCTTCTGCTTGGAGCTGAAGACTCCAAAAGGCAACGGTGCATTATCTGAGGATCAGCGCAAAGTACTGCAGCAATACGAGCAGAATGGTTATAAAGTGTCTGTTAGCAACGACTACGACGACATTTGTAGGAATATCATGGGATATTCCCAAGGTATTCGTCTACCGTGCGCCTACTGCTGCAGCTGCAAAAGATTCAAGTCCGCGCAGACTCTGGGAACGCATTTAAAGATATTTCATAGAATATATGGAGTTTAAGGCTGTAAGGCAGATACACTGGAGAGACTTAAAGGAAGGTGTCACGTATGAAATAAAAAATTATGTAGCCTTTGAAGATATTGATAGGCTACGGCTGCTGCTAGCCCACGAAGGTGTTACGTATTCCCTGTGGGCGCCGGATCGCGTCCGTTACGTATTAGAAGGGCAGGAGTTCACGCATCTGAGGTCGTATGGGAAGGATGGTCGCTGGGCCTTTGACGTCGCAAAGTGCGTCCTTCCTTCGCCTCTATGTGGTTAGATGCGTCTAAAGCGTCGTTTAAGTGGGGTTCGTCGACAATGGGGGTCGGCGACTCTTTTTTAACGATGCAGTCTGCTGGGGGTTCACATGTAATACAGTCCATATATTGAAAGCCCCCAAAGAATGCGGCTGCGTAGGCTGCATATATGAAAACTATTTCACGAGAATCCTTATTCCTCTTAAGAAATTGTTAAGCCCCCGGAAACTATCTCACGAAGATCCTTATTCCTATTTATTATTTGTTAAGGCCCCGAAACTATTTCACGAGAATCTTTATTCCTATTTATTATTTGTTAAGGAAACTATTTGGCGGATCTGCTTATTATTCTTAAGGAATTGTTGTGCCATTAGGATTGCGGTAATAATAATAAAGAATTTCTTGAAATAGTTTTTGGGGGTTAACAAATAATAAATAGGAATAAGGATCCTTGTGAAATAGTTTCCGGCCCCTTTAACAGAATAACAATAAAAAATAAGGATGCCCCAGAATAGTTTCCGGGGCCTTAACAAATAATAAATAGGAATAAGGATCCTTGTGAAATAGTTTCTAACCCCTTAACAATCTTTGAAATAGTTTCAGTGACTGTCCCTTCGCTCCCAGATTGTCTTCATGTGCTGCTCAAACGTCTTGGGCTCCGCACTTACGTACAAGCACTGCCAAATGTGCTGCCCATCTCTTTGACAGCCGCAGCGGCCGCACTCCGCCTCCCAGTATTCCCTATCTTCCCACGACACGCCTTCAACCTTGTCAAACATCGCAAAGCGCTGATCGATTTCTTTCTTACGTTGCGTTAACCGCCTCTTAGTTTCCTTTGGACAACATCGCGCCGCAACGTCGCCATGGTCTAAGCAAGCTACGCCTTCTAAGTCGTAATTACCGCGGCAACGGAAACGATGCCACTCTTCGTCTTTGTCCTCCTCACAGCGCTCACATACATTCTTTAAACAGACGCGGTTATCGACGTGATACTCCAACATCTGCACGCTGCACGCCTTTTCGCGGTGGTAATTCAATCTTTGCTTGCTGCTAAACGTCTTACCGCACTCGTTGTACTCCATCTATATAACAAATATTTAATAAGCCTAATTAGAATCACAAAGGATACCTCATAAAGTCTGCGACTGACTCTTTTGCCCACGCTGCCATAGTTATCAAAGCGCCAACCCGTTCTGCGCGCTTCAGGCCGCACATCTCATCGTATAATTCCTGTACGCGCCCCTGCAGCCGGTCTATCTCCTCCCTTTGCATCTCTACCGTCCTCTCCAGGTCTGACTTCCTTTTGACGACGTTAACCATTGCTTTGACTGCTTCCACGGGCTCCATATATATTAATGAACCCGAATCACATGCCTTGTAATGCGCTGATAGTAGGACCTACCGGCTGCGGAAAGTGCTGCTTTGCCCCACCTACGTGAATAACCGCACCTGGACGGGTATAGGAGTAAAAGATGACGACGTCTTTGTTGACATATTGGACCCTAACGAGTTATCTGGACATCTTAAGTTCTGGCGCAAACAATTCCCTAAGGATACTCAGACACTCCTCATATTGGACGACATTGCCTGTGGAGACGACGTAAAGAGACGCACGTCGGAGCTCGTTAAACTCGCCTTTAGCGGCAGACATGACAATATTAGCGTTTGGTTGCTCTCGCAGCAGCTTACCAGCGTCTCCAAACCCTTCAGGGAAAACATAGGCTCACTTGTCGTATTTTATACTTCAAGTAAGTCCGACTTGGAAACCATCCTCTCCGACTATGGCGGTGAGATCTCCAAATAACAGCTGCGTGAATACATGCGGCACTTGAAGACGCACGAGTACTCCTGCCTGGTCTTCTCTTTGAGGTTTTCGTATGACGTTAACATATATGGAGATTGAGCAGCTCTTAGATGAAGTCCCCACACAGCTAGACGAAAGTAACCTTAAAGAACAACTTAACATCCTGGTGTCTTCTGGGAAGTGCAAAGAAATGATAGGCAAGGAACTTACCCATGAGCAGGT